TCTAACCCCTATACTCCATTCAAATCATGCCATTGTCCTAATAAGGTCCAGTATAGCAAAACCAACAGCAATCAGGTTTTTTCTTTGCCACCTTTCCTTTCTGGTTTAGGACTCAGTCATGTCTCTTTATAGTCTGCTTCAGTTTGGAAGGGTCATTTCGTCTTTATTGTGTCTTTTACAACCTTGACATTTTTTAAGAGTACATATCATTTACTTTGTTGAATGTCTGTCAGTTTGGATTTATCTGCGGTTTCCTCACGATTAGGTTCAGATTACACATTTTGTCAGAGATACTATCAAAGCAGTTGTGAGTTGTCAGTGCATCATATTTGGTGGCTCACAATTTTGATTCATCCTGAACTTTTGTTTTAAGGTTAACTTCTTTAAAAAAGTTTACTTTTGGGCGCCTGGGTGGCTCAGTCGTTAAGCGTCTGCCTTCAGCTCAGGTCATGATCCCAGGGTCCTGGGATCGAGCCCTGCATCGGGCTCCCTGCTCGGCAGTAAGCCTGCTTCTCGCTCTCCCACTCCCCCTGCTTGTGTTCCTTCTCTCACTGTGTCTCTCTCTGTCAAATAAATAAATAAATAAAATCTTTAAAAAAAAAAAAAAGTTTACTTTTGGGGCACCTGAGTGGCTCAGTCAGTTAAGCGTCTGCCTTTGGCTCAGGCCATGATCCCAGTGTCCTGGGATTGAGCCCCTTATTGGGCTCCGTGCTCAGCAGGGAGCCTGCTTCTCCCTCTCCCTCTGCCTGCCTGTCTGCCTACTTGTGATCTCTCTCTCTCTCCCCCCCGTCAAATAAATAAATACAATCTTTAAAAAAAAAAAAAGTTTACTTTTGTCTCTTGTTTAAGATTGTGTTTGCCAGAATTTTCTGCTATAAAGTTAACAAGTTATTTTGTACTTAATAACTAAAAAGTATTTTGGGGGGGAGATTTTGAAACTATAAATACCCTGTTGTTACCAAACTTTTACCCACTAGTTTTTTTAGCACATTACAAATATGGCCAAATGGTGATTTTTCTAATTGTCATTCTTCCTATGTTTATTAGTTGGCCTTCTACCGAAAGGTAGAGTTTCCCCTTCTCTCCATGGTTTATTGATTTATTTTATTCTTTATGGACTCACAGATTCCTATATTACTCAGTAGGTTACAATTCATTACTATTATTATTTATCTTGATGTTTAACTTGGCCTGGGTTGGCCGTTGGGGTTAGTCATTGGGTCAGACTGGTTTGCTATAAACTTTTGACATGTCCCCATCATTTTTCGAGCACTTCCTTTCTTTATGACACACAAGATGTCCCAGCTCATGTTGTAAATTCCTTGCCCTAGCCCTAGAATCAGCCATTTCGCCCTCGGTATTTAGAATGTAAGATTTGTGCTTTTGTTTGCTCATTGTCATTGGGTAGTGGTTGCTTATAGGACCTTTCAGTGGATAGAGCTAAGAAATGTACATTATGTATAGGCATACAGGCACTTAGGTACCAACACACATTTATATTTATTCCTGTCTCCTCAGTGTAACTGAAAACCGTGAGCTCGCGCTGATACTTTCAGTCTTAATCTGGCACCACATAGTCTATTCTAACCTTTCTCCTTTCTGTATTTATGCCTTCCATCTCCTGCAGTTGAGAATCCTGGCTCCCATTATCCTCGCTTACGTATTTGCTTTACCTCACTGTGTGTAAGTGGTCTCTCAAACAGGCTGTCTCCTGGGGCCCTGGGGCTTTCAGGCTTGTGCTGGGCCAGAGTCCTCTCTCTCCGGTGTGAGTCTGGAGTCTGTCCCCCACCCCCTATCAGTGCAGTGACTCACATTGGCCTAGGAGGAGGATACATTGATGCTCAGTAAGTGTGTCTATTGTGAGCAGACTGTTTATTTAAAGTATTTATTTTATTTTTGCGAGAGAGAATGAGAGAGAGAGGGAGAGAGAAAATGAGTGGGGGGGGAGGGGCATAGAGAGAAGCAGGCTCCCCGATGAGCTGGGAGCCCGATGTGGGACTCCATCCCAGGACCTCAGGATCATGACCTGAGCTGAAGGCAGACGCTTAACCGACTGACCACCCAGGCGCCTGTGAGCAGGCTGTTTATAAAAAAATGGGTAGCATAACTCTGGAAAACAGTATGGAGGTTCCTCAAAAAGTTGAAAATAGAGCTACCATATGATCCAGCAATTGCACTACTGGGTATTTACCCCAAAGATACAAAAGTAGGGATCTGAAAGGGTACATGCACCCCGATGTTTATAGCAGCAGTGTCCACAATAGCCAAACTGTGGAAAGAGCCAAGATGTCCATCGACAGATGAATGGATAAAGAAGATGTGGTATATATACACAATGGAATATTATGCAGCCATCAAAAGGAATGAGATCTTGCCATTTGCAACAACGTGGATGGAACTGGAGGGTATTATGTTGAGCGAAATAAGTCAAAAAGAGAAAGACATGTATCATATGACCTCACTGATATGAGGAATTCTTAATTGCAGGAAACAAACTGAGGGTTGTTGGAGTGGGGGGTGGGGTGGGAGGGATGGGGTGACTGGGTGATAGACACTGGGGAGGGTATGTGCTCTGGTAAGCGCTGTGAATTGTGCAAGACTGTTGAATCTCAGATCTGTACCTCTGAAACAAATAATGCAATATATGTTAAGAAAAAAAAAGAAGAAGAAGGTAGCAGAAGGGGAAGAATGAAGCAGGGGAAATCGGAGGGGTAGACGAACCATGAGAGACGATGGACTCTGAAAAACAAACTGAGGGTTCTAGAGGGGAGAGGGGTGGGAGGATGGGTTAGCCTGGTGATGGGTATTGAGGAGGACACATTCTGCATGGAGCACTGGGTATTATGCACAAACAATGAATCATGGAACACTACATCTAAAACTAATGATGTAATGTATGGGGATTAACATAAGAATAAAAAAAAAAAAGAATAAAAAAAATGGGTAGCATAAAGTGAAGGGAAGAGAGGAGAGAGCTAAGTGAGTGACAAGACTTAGGCCAGAATCAGAGTGGGTAAGTAAGGTCAGGCAGTAATCTCCTAAATGGGGAATTATACCTTCTTCATTTGTACTTTTGTGAAGGACTGGAGTATATACAATAGAGTCAGGAAATAAAATTGCTTCTTGCTCCCAGGGGTGGGGGAGCTATGGAGTTTTACTTAAAGATCAAAAGGGATGTTTGAGGATTTTTTTTTTTTTTCAAAGTAGACTCCATGCCCAGCGTGGAGCCCAGCACGGGTCTTGAACTCATGGCCCTGAGATCAAGACCTGAGCTGAGATTGAGAGTGGGATGCCCAACCAGCTGAGCTACCCAGGCACGCCCTGTTTGGGGATCTTTTTATATCCATATATAAAACAAAATTTGAAGTAAATTCAGGGTAGAAAAATTTTCAGGTTTGTACCCCTCTTCCCATCTCCTTAAAGCAGAATAATTTTTTTTTTATTTTTTTTTTTATAGATTTTTATTTATTTATTTGACAGAGAGAGATAGTGAGAGCAGGAACACAAGCAGGGGGAGTGGGAGAGGGAGAAGCAGGCTTCCCGCTGAGCAGGGAGCCTGATGTGGGGCTCGATCCCAGGACCCTGGGATCATGACCTGAGCCGAAGGCAGACGCTTAACGACTGAGCCACCCAGGCGCCCTAAAGCAGAATAGTTTTAAATGCTCATATATTTGTATCAGGACTTTCTTTGTACCTTATATCAGCTATTTCTTGGGTGAAAACTAGCCTTGTTCGTGTTTAAAAGGTAACTTGAGAACTTCAAAGCATAACAGTAATGCTGTAAATCTTGGAATATCACAGGATGTGGTCCCCCCCCCCAAGAAACCCCCAAACCCCTGGTCAAGTAGGGTGCTACAGATTTCCTCCTGTGGCCTTTTGTCATCATGATAGAAGAGGGTCAGAATTGACAACAGATTGGGGAAGACGTTTATCCTATTTGGCTTAAAATTGTTAGGGGAGGGGAAGATACTCTTCTCTCTGAGTCAGGCTTGGATCAGCATGGCTTGATGCTATACCAGATGTTGGCAGGGCAATAAAATACAGAGCTCTTCTAACTGGGTTACCGCTCTGTTCTGTGACATTCTCTGTGACCCCAAAGAACCATGCTTTCTGAGAATGTCTCCTGATAGCAGGCCCCATGCAGAGTAGAGCCAGGGTTGTAAGCAGAAGATACAGAGTTAACCAGTTTAATTCATCCAGCAGTTTTCATTGTTCGGGTAATAGCAGTGGGTCTTGTAAGGGATAGTGTTGTTGCTAAACTGTAACCCAAAATCCAGACCTGGCATCACAAAACAATGTCGGGTTCCAGTCAAACAAAGTAATCAGTATAAATGAGCATATTTGGATAGTAAGTAAATTTTTAAAACTATAAATTTCTCTATCTTTCTGTCTTTTTTTTTTTTTTTTTTTAAGATTTATTTGAGAGAGAGAGAATGAGAGACAGAGAGCATGAGAGGGAGGAGGGTCAGAGGCAGAAGCAGGCTCCCCGCCGAGCAGGGAGCCCGACGCGGGACTCAATCCCAGGACTCCAGGATCATGACCTGAGCCGAAGGCAGTCACTTAACCAACTGAGCCACCCAGGCGCCCCATCTGTCTCCCTTTAATAAAGCAGTGTCTTAGATCCTATGGAGGGATTGGCCTGGTGTGTAATTAAGGCACAGATCAAACACTTACATCCATTGTAAGCACTTAAACCAGGAAGTTGGGACCAGAAAGTCTGGTGGTTATTCTCGCATGCCACGAATGCAGAAAACAGTTGTTGCAAATCTATGACCATTGTGTTAACACATCCTCAGGCATGTAAGATTTGTAAAGTAAAAACATGGCAGAAGGATAGGTCAAGTTGGCCTTGGAGTAAATGGTCAAAGCAGGACATGTTTTTTACCAGTCTCTGATTGTGGGCTCGTCTGTTTGCTTAATCCCATCAGACTTCAGGAAGAATTGCTTGTCCTCTGGAAGGTAAGACGTTATATTCTTGACTCTGAAAATTCTCTTTTCAGATGCTGTCTTTGCCTTTCAATTACGCAATCCAGTGCACAATGGACATGCTCTGTTAATGCAAGATACCCATAAGCAACTTCTAGAGAGGGGCTATCGGCGCCCTGTCCTTCTCCTTCACCCTCTTGGTGGCTGGACAAAGGATGATGATGTTCCTTTGATGTGGCGTATGAAGCAGCATGCCGCAGTGCTGGAGGAAGGAGTCCTGAATCCTGAAACAACAGTGGTGGCCATCTTCCCATCTCCCATGATGTATGCTGGGCCAACTGAGGTAGACTGCTTTTAAGATTTTCAGTGCAGCAGAAACCACATGTATTAACACAACTAGTGTTGATTCTCCTCTGACCTGTTGGTCTCTTCCAGACATTGAGCATGCCTGGAGTACTCTCATGCTCCTATCGGGAACGTTCTTTATTTATTTTATTTTTTTTTTTAAAGATTTTATTTATTTGACAGAGAGACAGCGAGAGAGGGAACACAAGCAGGGGGAGTGGGAGAGGGAGAAGCAGACTCCCCACTGAGCAGGGAGCCTGATGCGGGGCTTGATTCCAGGACCCTGGGATCATGACCTGAGCCGAAGGCAGACACTTAACGACTGAGCCACCCAGGCGCCCCTCAGGAACATTCTTTAGAGGTGACCCCCCAAAAGCAGTCTTCTTGGGAACAGGAAGACAGGGAGAGGCTTCTCTTGCTGTTTTTGTGGTTCTTGGTCCCAGTTTTGTGAAGGAGGGAACGCTCCCTGCAGATAGAGGGCTGGGTGAGCTTGGGAAGGTGTGACAGAGGCGCCTCTGAAAACTTTTGGCCCCGTTTACAGGCAGAGCTCTGGTAATACCCATCTCAGCTCTTTAACAAAGTACTGTCATTCTTCCCCAGAGACAGATTGGGTCTGATTTTTGCTGCTTCTGAATTTTGGAAGGGCCAAAGGTATTTCAGTGGGAAGGTAAGCATGGTACCCTTTAAAAAACATTCAGAAGACATTTTTCATCTTTTGTTTTGCGAGACTGGTGCATAATAGAGTCGGAAGTAAAATTACTTCTTGATACTGTGTGCGGAGAGGGTCCTGGAGTTCTATTTAGTGGTCAAAAAGAATGTTGTGAGATCTTTTTATGACCATACATATAGACAAGGACTTAATCAGGTTTTTGCTTCAAGGCCGAATAGGCATTCAAAAATGAATGACCTCAAAAACAGTGTGTGGGGAATTCCTAGCCAGCTTCTTGTTGAATTTTCAAGATAAAGAATGGAATGCACATTATTATTGCATTCTTTTTCAGCTCTTGAAGGGAGATGGATTTATTTAGATTATTTGGGAGGCAGACCCTCTTAAAGAGGATCTAAATAGTTTTTATATATTCTGTGATGTCTTTCTCGAAAAAAGTTTAGGAAATCCAAGCGTGTTTGGCTATTCTTTAGGCTCACGCCTAAAAATTTTCACTGGAGCTTAGTTGTGGGTTTGTATGCTCTTACTGTCTCTTTATCCAAGAAAAACAAAGAAAAGATAATAATAATAAAAAACCCTCAAAGATTAAAATGTATATGACTCTTCTCTTAGATCCAGTCTAAATAATGCATTGGAACTTCAGTAGGTCAAGCTCCTCATACTCTTCTTCCCTCTTTGTTGGTATCAAAGGTTCAGGAGAATTAGGCAGGGGATCACCCTTTAAGTTTCCTATACACCATCACGACTTCTTCAAAGAGGAACTACATTGTCCTGGAGATAAAGTGACAAATTTTCTTCCGGTAGTTCTCCAACCGTTCCTTTGGTGCTGTCTTCATCATCATCATCATTTTAAAGGAATCATTTGGTCTCAAATTCTCCAGAGTTATAGGATGAATGGTTTTTAAAGTGGGAGTGACCCAAGCAAGTTCAGGGTCAGGAATAGGCCACCTGGGAAAGGAAAGGGATTTACCTTCCCAATTCAGGACATATTTTGTCCCCTTTGTGTTTCGTTTCTTATTCCCTATCTAAAAGGGGAAGAGAGATGACATTTTAACTAAACTGAAAATTGTTTTCAGAAAGGCGAAGATGAGAGGATAGATAAATAATAAAAGTAGCCAAGCTGTGCTAAAACAGATTATTCTTTCCTGAGAGAACACCACAAAGAATTAAAGCATGCTGTCTTGTCTACATTGGAAAGATTCTCACGTCTTCTGATTTCAGAAGCAGGTGTGTTTCTTAAGAAAGATTCAAAGGTGAAGGTACACAAAGGTATCTTTGGGGTGCTGCTAGCATTTTGGCTTCCCTGAGAGCTGTGTTTTTTGCAAGCATAGCTGACTGGTCAGTGAGCTGGCTGCAGCAGGCCCTTCCGTGGCTCAGAGTTGCTGCCTGTTGCTTCCCACCAGGACGTGGTCTGGTGAAGACAGTCCAGTCCTGCCATCGAGGAGTGGCGGCATGGTTCTGGTTTGCCCCCAGATGGTTTGTAATCTCAGGCTAGGCTTCTTTAGACTTCTCTGGGTTATGTTTGAGTGCACCATAAATGGTTATTTAACTGGTGCACAAGGAGGTTGGACTAAATATTGTTGAAAGGTCTGTTCCAGGGCATTTTCTAGTTTGTCTCACTTTCTTTTAACTTCATATTTAAGTATAGTATACATGGGAAACAGTACACATTTCATAGATGTACAGTGAAATGGATTTCTCCCATTTGAACAGTCATACAACCAGCATCCAGACTTTTAAAAAAAAGACTCTTATCTGCATCCTAGAAGCTGTCCTTCCTGTCTTTCTGTTCCCTCCCTGTTCTCCCCCAGTGGTCCCCAGTATCCTCATTTCTCACCTCGGATCCAGTTTGCTTGTGCCAAAGCTTGGATACTCTGAGAGTGAGATTAGCCTTAGGGAAATTTATTGGCGAGAGCCCTTGGGATCAACGCCTGTGAAGAGGAAAGAGAGGAAAGGAAGTGGGATTGGGCAGAGGGAAGAGTGAAGCTGTGGTTCAGCCTTAGTGGAAGCCTCAGTTGCCCATGTGGAGTTCTGGAAAGGCCCGCAGAGATGTTCCATGTTGCACAAGAACTAGGCATTCATGCCCTGGTGTGGAGCAGCGATTGGCCACCCAGGGAAGGGGTGTGCCCTCGGGCCCGGCTGCTGTCTGCGCGGAGGCCGTTTCTGAAGAGGGCTGACAGCTGCTGAGTGTGTGCTGGCCCCTGTCCCAGACGCTGGGGAATAGTCCTCTTTTACTCCGGGGGGTGGGGGTGGGGTGGGGTGGTGGGGGCGGACACCTGAGGGTTGCCTCAGTGTCCAGTCCAGCCTTTGTGTACCTGAAACCCTGCAGCATATACTTCTTTGTGTCTGGCTTCTTTTACTTTACATTGTGTTTCTCGAACTCAGCCTTCGTTGTGTATCGTTGGTTGTAGGTCGGTCGTTCTCAGTACTCGTCATGTGACTCCACCCAGTACTGTGGGTGGGCATGTGGGCAGTTTCCAGTGCTTTGCTAGTAAGAGTAGCGCTGGGATGGAGATTTTAGTGCATGTCTTCTAGTGGACGTTTATGTCGTTGTATACCGAGCGGTCGCATTGCTGGGTCGTGGGGTATGCGTTTGTTCAGCTTAGTAAATGCTCGCAGTGGATTTTCCAATGTGGTTGTGCCATTTTACTCTCCCAAACGAGAAAATAAGTATTTCCTCATACTTGATTATCTTTTTTTTTTTTTTTTTTTTTTTTTTTTTAAGGATTTATTTATTTATTTGAGAGAGGGAGGGAAAGTCGCAAGCCAACTCTCGGCCGAGCGCGGAGCCCAACCCTGGGCTGGATCTCACCGCCCCGAGATCACAACCTGAGCCGGAACCAAGAGTCGGACGCTTAACCAGCTGTGCCACCCAGGCGCCCTTTGATGATCTTTTTCGTTTTAGTTAGTTTATTCCTTTAGCCTGACTCTTCAGCCACACATTTTCTAATAATTTACTATTTCTTAAGCAGCCTCAAAAATGTTTTCATTGAACCGGCTTCACTGAAGAGGAAATGGAGAAGCAGTAAATGAGTTGTATTTATATATAGTGATTGAGAAATAGAATATAAAAATAGCTCATTTTCAGTGAGCTTTTACTGTATCTGCCTGGCAATATGTCAAGGGTTTTACTTGTATTAGCTAACTTAATCCTTACAATAACACTAAGACGGTAGGTATGATTATTATTCTCAGCTTACAGATGAGGAAGCAGAGGTAGAGCTGTTAAAAAACAGGGGCAGAGTGGGTGGTGGTGGTAGGGGGTGTTCAGTGGATTGAAAATCACCAAGAGGAAAACATCAGAAATTACAGGCAAGAGATGATTGTGGTTAAATAGACCTTGCAGGATTCTTGCTGAAAGCAAGCCAGCTGATCAAATATCACTTAGGGGGTGGTGGGGAAGAAGGATTTGAACACGTGTCGAGGATAGGGAGTTTCTGCTAGCAAGAGTTTTGCTAAAACTGGGTAACACAGGCCCTACATGGATGGACACTGAAGGTCGTCGGGCTTTGAGGGCTTGGAGGAATCTCACTAGAGTTAGGTCAAGCAGAGAGACCCTAGAGTCACTAAGCATGACTGCAGAGCTGGGACCGAAACTCAGGCCAGTCTAATTCCATGGCCTGCTGTTTTCTCCAGATCTCTCTGCCGCCTGGAAGTCTCTAAGGGGCCTGTGGTGGGTAGTGGGTGGGAGGGCAAAGAAGTCAGGTGTCTGCACAGAGCTCTCAGGTTTTCTAGAAGTGTGTGAAAGCACCTTAAAATTGCATCTGCCTATAGATCTCTATTTGGAGTTAGGAGCTAAGAGGTGTGGATCTTGTCAGGAAGCACTGGATCTGGTACCTGAGCAAAAGGCAGTTTTTAACTTCTGAACTTTTAAAGAGCAAACTAGAAACTCTAGTAAACCTCTCTGTATTTTAAACCCTTAAATGTTTTACTGATTTATGACCTGGCAGGATGTAAACGGTTAGATTGAGTGGCTTGTGAAAACTATCCATTTCTTTTTCTCAAGTGCCCCCCTTGAGTGTTTGACTTATTTGGCTTATTCACAGCCGTAAGTGAAGAATTTTTTTGTAATTAAAAAAACATTCATTTTTGTAGCTTTTCCAGTGACATCAGGAAAAAGTCTGCCAGTAATGCTTATTTGCCAACTAATAATAATAAAATAAAAACAATGACTCTCCTTTAATCATTTTCTGTAGGTCATTTAGAAGGCATTGGTACCAGATTTGTTTCCCTAGCACAAATGCTTTTCAGAGCAATGAGCAGCTGTGAAGCCTGTCTGGTTATCAACACGATGCCCCTGATTTTCCAGTCTGTAAAGATTTAATAGCTTT